ATTATAGTGTTGCTAGAAGCTCTTACTTTCATCTACGTAGAATAAAAAAACTTTTGCCTTTTCTTGATGATCCTACTCTTCTCCTTCTTGTTACTTCGTTAGTCTTATCTAGGATTGATTATTGTAACTCGCTTTACTATGGTCTTCCTGACTCTATACTCTATCCTTTAAGTAAAGCTTTTAACTCTGCTGCTCGTCTAGTTGCTCGTGCCCCTTTCTTTTCTCATATATCTCCATATCTTGTTCTCTTGCACTGGCTACCTATAAAATATAGAATAATTTTTAAAATTTGCACGTTCATGTATAAGTCTCAATCTAAATTATTTCCTAAGTACTTATCAGATATATTAATTGAACCTAAACGCCCCGGTTTACGATCGTCTTCTTCTTCTCGCTTTTTCTTAACTCGTGTTAAACACTCTTTTGCCAAATCTGCTTTTGCTTTTTCTGGTCCTTTTCTCTGGAACTCTCTACCTACTTCTCTAACTATTTCTCCATCACTTGCGAAGTTCAGAGCGGATCTCAAGACCCATCTGTTTTCAAAATTCATTGAGGAGCGCTGTTGAACATCGCGGAAATAGCGCTTTATAAGCTAATTGATTGATTGATTGATTGATTGATTGATTAATTATGCAATCCAAGATTGATTCCATCAAAAAAGAGCTCCACTTTAAAAGTAATCCTCGTGATCTCTGGCGATCACTCAACAACCTCCTTCTTTCTCGTCCGCCACAACACTATTCTGATGATGTTAAAACTCATCTCCGCTCTTGCTAATAAGACATATCTCCGCATGACGTTTTGCCTATTGTTCTTCTCAAAAAAATTTCCTCACTCTTTGCTTCTGTGATCTCAAAATACTTGCTTATCTTTTTTTTAGCAAAAGTGTTTTTCCTACCACTTTCAAAACTGCCCAAGTTCTTCCACACTTAAAAAAATCTAATCTTGATCCATCGGACCCCTCAAACTATCGTCCCATCTCAAACTTGTCAACTGTTTCTAAAATTCTTGAACGTTTGGCTTTAAAAAGAATCCTTACACAGGTCACCTTTTCTTCAACTTTTCCACTTTTCTAGTTTGGCTTCTCCACTGAAACTGTACTTCTCCATTTATATGATAATCTCACTAACATTTGTGGTAACCGGAACTGTCTGGACCTATCTGCGGCCTTTGACACAATTTATCATCAAATACTCTTAGAAAGGCTAAAAATGGAATTTGGCATCGCCGACACAACTTTTTCCTGGTTCAGTTCAAATTTTTCAAACCGTCCCCAATTTATTAAACTTGGCCCACAGGTAACTTCTGTTTTTTGCTTATCTACCGGAGTTCATCAGAGCTCTGTTTTAGGACCAATGCTTTTCACTATTTATACTAGTCCCTTATCTGACATCTTTAACAATTATGGCTCATCCTTTCATCAATATGCTGATAACGCAAGTATAGAATCTGAAATCTCCCACCAAAATATCATTTCTCAACTCGATAGACTTAACTCTTATGTCTCATCAATAAAGGATTGCAATTGACTTAATTTCCTTTAACTAAATGTCCAAAAATCTGAAATAATGTTT